TAGTACGTATGCACAGTTGGGTTGAGTACTCTGTGTGTTGACCATAGAGGATCGCTTTCTTTTCTCGTCCTCAACCCCCTCCTTTTACTCATCCTTCCGACAGGTAACATGCCCTCAGACAACTTATTCGTCACCCGCCAAAGGGCGTTGCCTAATAGCACTGGAGATAGTTTGCCTGTAAGTGCAGATTTTGAAGTATCATCAACATCACGATACGGGGGCCTTCAATATGAGGACTTTGATGCAGGTCGGTCAACAAGCGTGACTAGCGCATACATTGGAATCTTTAGAAATTGTTATCTGTTGCATAGGGGAGACACGGATTCAGGATCCTTGCATCATAAGCCACCTTAGTGCGTCGGGTCTGCCCTCGAGGTATTTTCTTCGTACACCAGTTCAGTTCAGTTTTTACAACAGTTAACTATTTACTTTCGTGCGTCGGTTTTGGTTGCTGTCTTTTGGTGCTCCATTTGGATAAAACAGAATGAGAGGATGAAGCCTGCTCACTGGGTCAGTGTGGTGTAGGTATCGTACTAAATGATAAAGCTGANTTGTGTGCAATGAGACTCCAGGGCTCAGTTAGTGTTCGGGAGAGCAGCAACACCGAAAGATGTTTGTTCATTAGTTCTGCATATGCACCAACCAACTACAATCCCGCTTCACATAAGCTACCGTTGGTGTGGTTCAGTACAAAATTGCAGATGCTACTGGACCACTTGCGTTGAGTCGAACCATGCACTAGTTCACTCTTCGACTCATCGGCAGAAACCGCCTCCTCAATTAGCTCATCATCGTCTGCGCAGTACATCTGTCTGCGTACGTTATGAGAGGAAGCCGGAACGTGAGCTAGGAGAACCGCGACATGATGGAATAGACCAACAATTGAATCAGATTAGATTTGCGATGCACTCAGCAGCAAACTCTGCTTGTGGGGCCGAGCCCGAAGTTCACCGAAGACAGGATCTCACAGGAGTCCGTGATTTTGATGGATCAAAAGCGACAGATCGCAATCTGCCACGACCATCATATTGATTGGTGGCGCCTGCAAAGTCAACTTAGGAAAAGCCTTAA